CCCGACATCTTCAGTTTTGTATTTATTTTCAAGCGCATTCCACAATTCTTTTGATGTCTCCACACCACTGTATACATTATGCAGATTATCATCCAGTCCGCTAAGAATATAATTCTTGCACAAAAAATCAGAATGCTTCCACGCCTCAATCACGAGAAAGCTTTCATTCTCTGGAGTTTCATCTGCCAGATCAGGAACATCTTCCTTGATGAACTTTTGTAGACATAACGTAGTCAGATAGAAGAACATCTTCTGCTTCCAGCGCATGAAATCAATCCCGAAAAAATTTTCAGGTTTTCTGCCGGTGTTCGGCTTGTCGATCCGTTGGCAGTCACCATTGGAACAGCTTGATTTCCGTTGTCATTCGCCATTTTTTCTGGAAAAAAATGACACAAACAAACGTTTAAAACTGGAGTAAAAAATCACGTAGATTTTAATCTCCAACAAACCGCCACGAAGGCTTTACTCTCCAAACGGGAGTACACAAAAACCACAAAGGTTTTAGTTTCCAGAATAATAAAAGTAACACAAATACAGAAATTAAAATTATTAAATTCCTTAAGCTTATTGTTTATTCTGTATTTGTAAATAATGATTCTGGAAATTAAAACGTTATAAATGTAAATATAAATAAAACAGAAATTAATTCGAGCCCACTGAATTCACAATGTTTCCTTAAGGAATTTAATCCCCTCCTAATGCCCAAGGTTATGGATTATTTCCTCCTAGGATAGAACGAATTACACACTGGTGTAGCGGTACTTCAAACCCCAGTGTTTGAGCGAACACAAAGTTCGGCAGCAAATCACACTTACGGATGCTTTGTTTGTAGTTTAAAACAATGCAGAACAATGGAGGAGAACTCAGAAGTCGAATGGAAATTCTGAGAGGAAGGAATTCAATTTATAGTCGATATTGAGTTCTTACTGAAGAGGATATCAGTAGTTCTGTAAACTGAAGAGGAACGATTTCTTTTTGTGTGTCTTCAACAAGCTGCTTGCACCATCTATTTATAGTGCAGTTAGCTGCTAAACACGGACCCGCTGCCACTCATTTAGTGGAGCACTTGGCCATGGTGGACGGAGCACCAGGCTGCTAACTAATGGAGCAAGCATTTGGCAATGGTGGGAGACGCATTAGCCTGCTGGAACAAATCCACGGATTGGAACATATCCGTCACAAACACGGATATTATTACGTTAATATTTATTATTAACAAATAAATTTGGTCTAAAAAATTAATCAATCAATCATTTGACCAAAGCCGAAGCCGAGCGAGCGACGACAACGGCGCGAGGCTTGCCGTCTTCCTAACTCTTTAAGAGCTACATGAAGTGCATTTGTATATAAACCCACCAAACTCCTTTTCCTTTACCAATGAGGGACAATGTCTCATTAAAAGGAGAGGGAAATTTAAAATTTTACTCAAAATTTTCATTTCTCTCCATTTTTCATTCACCATCTTTTTAATACTTTTCTATATTAAAAAGAAACTCAACACATACAAACCACGAACGTAGTAATTAGAGCCTAAAACAACCCAGAGTTAAAAAATACATGATGTTCTTAGGACAAGAACCAGGCTAAGAAATCCAAGAACCTTATTGTTATCCAAACACAGAGCTGATTCAAGCTCTACTCCATCACAAAGTTGTTGGTCACTTTATTGACCAAATGTTTTCCATAGACCGCACCTTCAAATTTCTTGATCCCACCCACGTTCTGCACACACACATCCAAGGGTTCTACTTCCGCGTCAAAGTTGGGCTGTAGGAGAAATGAAACATACATCATTAGAAACTAACATAAACTCATACCATCGTTTTGTTAATTTAATTGTCAAAAGAAAAAGAAAGACTTTAACCTCATAAAAATAAGCCACACAAACACGGTATTTGCCAGAGTCGTTGATGACTCTATGGAGTGTGGACTCATATAACCCATTGAATAAAATCTGCCAATAATCAATAGAGATGAACAACTTAAGCAGAGGTGTAAAAAATGATTAAAAAGTTCAAAGTGGAAAGAAAAAAACATTCTTTAAAAGATATGAAGTTTTACCATAATCAGTGTGAGCTCCACTGAGAATTATTTGATTCCAAATAGATGAACAACGCAGAAAACCAAAAATATAACTCATTAGAAAATAGATATACCAATAACAGGGAAAAAGGAACTCGATGAACAATACCATAACTTACAATCCAATATCTTTTTTTTTTTTTTTTAAAATTAACTTACCAACCAATTGTGCTCCTAGCGTTTTCTTGTCCATCTGACGATGGTGAAGGAGGGTAACCAATTGCTCTTAAGACCCAGAATGGATCTCTGCTTATTTTGCTCTCTATTTCCATACATCCCTGGTTTTATTTCTCTATAGAACTGCAATGCATCAAACATGATTTACTAAACCAAAATAGCACCAATTACTAATTATATTAACGAAGTATTTCTATAAAAGCTTTGTCAAAAGACATGCTTGTGTAAATAGAAAGTAACATCGAGAGAAGTTACATTGCAAACAGTAGAGATGTTACGTTGGACATATATAGTTGAAGAATGGTCTTTAATAGCAAAAACAAAATCCAAGAAATAATTTTAGGTGATGATGAAAGTTGACTTTGATCCAATGCCTAAGAATCAAAATCCAACTCAATAATTTTAGGTGATGGTGAAGAATAAAGAAACCCAAGAAAGCTTGAAAGCTCTTATACAACAAGTGGGACACTTAGTTTCTCTAACATATAGAACATATATAACTAATCAATATAACGTACATCAATCGATCGCTTCTTGCATATCAGGGACGCCTGTAGTTATGTTCTCATAGATTGCTTGGTAACCTCTGCATTGAAGATACATAGGCAATCATTAGTTAAGATAACACAAAGACATTGTAATAATTCAAGATATTGGGTAATGACAGGAACCAACCTGTAGCCAGTTGAGGCAGAAAGTTTAATATTCAGTTTATCTTCATAAGGTTGATCAAAGTATTTACGTGTAATTCTCCTTATCTCTTCCATGAAGGGAAGCGGGATACCATGCCCCGTCTGAAAAAAAATGAGAAACAGAGAATAGAAAGAGGTCAAATATACAAACATTTACTCACTTAAGAAAGTCCTGCAAAAAGATAGCGAACATCAATCCCTCAACAATCTACTTTCTCTAATGCAGAGAATAACGGTATAAATCGCTAAATATCCGAACATAATTTAAGACTCGAGAAAAGACAGTGACAGCACACTATTTTTCTAAATATTGCAAACTTGAACAGCAAAAGTATAGAAGTAATGTGGACGTAGGAGTAGATGATAAGCTTATCGTTTGTTAAACAAGAAAAACTGGTCTATTTTTAGTAGAATTTAGTTCTTTGTTCCATGATTAGTTCTTACGAAGGAGACACTTAACGAGCATAGGTGGCTCAAAGGTAAGGCTAGTATAGCCCCAAAAATTTCGAGGCCCCAAAAAGTGTCAATGATAAAATAGGTAATAATATTTTGACTTAGACAATTTTGAACTATGTAGAAAAAAGTGTAAAATCCATGTAAAAAAGGTTTTAAAAAAACAAAGAATGTTTAATTTTTAACATAAGAAATATTCTAGAACTTCGAATTAAACTACTCAAATCTTCGTATTAGCAAATAAAGTTTTTAGATCAAGATCCAAGGTAAGTATTGCAAATATATGGCTAACATCTTATTAACTTGAGTTAAGCTTTGATAATATAGATAATAATAATATTACTAAATGAAGCTAAAAGTCGTATATCTTGTATGAATACTATTATATAAATAAGTACAGAAGGAAAAAAGATAACATCAAAGTTTTTGCATATACTTGTATAGGTGTATAAAATTTAGATTCTTATTAAAATTCGGCTTTAGGCTACTAAATTCGTTGAGCCGCCCTATTAAAGTAAATAAGCAACATTTTCTATTTTTTTTTTTTGTAGTGAGCAAGACCAGCAATAACGTCGATAGAAAGAAATATTAGCGGGAAAAGAATAATTACCACGTAAAAAAAGCCTTCATTTTTGCATGCCTCATCTAGTTCTTTCACCACTCCAGCTATACTTTCATTTTGCGATTCATTTACTTCATCCCACTTCTGTAGAAGCGGACTTATGTCTGTTACATATGAAACACTAAAAAATAAAGTTTTACTTAACCAATGGAAACTTGTTTTAAGCAAAATTTGAATAACCATATCCTCGAAGAGAAGATAAATTGATAGCACACAACAAAAAATAAGCCCTATTACAAAGTTTTAGAATTAAAAATTAAAAGCAAAATCATGGGAACTTTAAAATAGAACTTCAAAAGTGGCTCCGAAATTCAAACCTATTAGAGGGATAGTCTTAAATTCTGTAGCCATGGTGCTGAAAAATAAAGAAGAAGTTGAGAAATGAATTTTAAACTCTAATAGAGAGACTACTCTTTGTAATGCTATGCCTAGTTGTAGGTAGCACACATATATAGAGATAAAAGAATACGACAGACATTAGGTGGGTACGCACATTTGCGAACAAACTCCCTTTTTCTTTCACTACAAGAACATGATGGGTTAAACTAAAAGGGATCGTTTGGTTCGTAGACAAAATTATTTCGGAATTATAATTCTGGGATTAATAATCACTATAATTTCGGGACTAATAATCTCCAGATTATTTATTACTAATTCTTTATTTGATTTATTGGATTAAAAATGAGATATATAATGTATAATCCAAAACATGTGTTTGATTTGATACTAGATAAACTTGAATAAATCTTTTATTTTCAATTTTAACCTTGGTAAGTGAAGTAGATACATTTGAATCATTTTTTTAAATCTAATAACTATTTTAAATTGTTACTGCATAATTTCATTAGTTTCTTACTATGCTAACCTTGGTGATTGATGAAGTTTTGGGGTGAAAATCCAAAAAGTTCATTGTCAATATGGAGTTGATGATCTTGGAACTCGAACCCTTAAATTTGGTGATGAAATTTGATTTCTCATTCCATGAAAACATTTGGGGGACCACTCTCTTTTATTGTAGCTTCAGCTGTATTTTTCTGTTTAATATATATGATATTTAGGTCAATTTTTTTTTTGTGGTAGAGCGTTTAAATAGGAATGAGTATTTGCAACTGATTGATGAAGGCTGATGGTATCTACTTGCTTTGTTCTAATCTTCGGTCTTTTGATTTGAAGTATTTAGCTCCATGACAGTGACAAAAGGCATTAATGCATTTCATAATCCAAAACATCTAAATTCCCTTTGAAGTTTTTCCTATCTATACCATATATGAAACCTTATTACCAAAAATGTTCATAATTTGTTAATTACCCGCCCAGTCTATACTTTTACTACAATTTATATACCAATCCATAATTAGGCAAATTCTGCCATTTAAAACACGCTAAAAAGAAGGCACGAAATCTGCGTTTGATTCTTTCCACATTAAATTCGAATTTTGAAATGGAAAGAGATCTCATTGCTGCGTAATTCTCTCATTCACTACAATTTTAAAACAACGCAAGCTTCAGAAGCTCCAGTACTCAAATTGCTTTTACAAATTCTACAACGCAATACAAATTGTAGAATTCAAAATTGTTCTTCATCGACCTCAGTACTCAAATTGTCGAACCTATATCTGTTCTTCATCTTTTTTCTCTCAACTACATGAAATCATGTCAAAAATCCCAATAATGCTAAAATTGAATGGAAATTGGGATCACTATGGCAGATTTAAAGATTTTGAAGTTGATGCCATTGTGGTAGATGAGAATGCAAGCTACGGAATTCTGATTTCTACAATTGCAGAACAACTATCGATTGATACATCGGATAAAATTGTAGAAATAAAATATATTGTGAATGACAATTGTCCTCCAATGGAGATTAGGAATGATATGGGGGTTCGTGTGTATATGGAGACCAAAAAGGAGAATAAGAACTTAGGTTCGTATCCTTTATGTATAAGCGTAAGAGATTTCAATATGGAATTGGCAATCACCAACGATAGCACAAGTGCAGGTATGTTTAATTCGACATTACAGAGAGTTATTGTGTTAGTGTGTTATCTACAATATTACAACATTTATCTACTAATTAACTACAAAAAACAATGTACTGAAGCTCATAAAGCAATGTTGTTTTCAAAATTATCTACATAGTTACTACATTTATCTCTATGTTGCTGCAGGTTCGTCTGGATCCCTAAACTTACTTGAAATTCCATCCTCACCAGCTATAGAGGAATATCAAAGTGAAATAATAACTGAATCTACGCAAACATATATTGAAGAAGGACAAGTTTATCAGGACAAGCAAACTGTAGCTGCTGCAATGAAGAATTTTTCTGTGATGCACAAGTTCCAGTTCAGAGTAAAAAGATCTAGTCATAGAAGGTATGGATTTATTTGTGGAGAATATATCAGTAAAAGCAGTGTTTTAGTGAAGATATGTGGTTTTTATAAATTGTAGTTTAATTGTAGTTAAACTGTAGTTAATTGTAGTTTTTAACGAATTTGTGTTAAAACAGTCCTTTTTGTTGCTTCTACATCTATAGCCTGTATTAAATATTGTATTTTTTTTGTAGCTACTGGCTTATATGCGTTGTTGAAAACTGTAAATGACACTTCAAGGCAACGTCAATTAATGATTCGGCAATGTTTAAGATAAGGAGTTTCAACCGGCAACACACATGCTCCTTATTGGACGAAACATTCATACAGCGCAAACGTACTGCATCTGTAATTGGTAGCATGGTCATTCCAAAGTATTGTGATCCTAAGACTGTTTACACACCAAAGGACATACAAACTGACATGTTATCCGAACATGGACTGAACCTAAGCTACATGCAAGCATGGAATGTGCCACAACATATTTTGGATGAGGTAGTAAAGCCACCGGCGGGAGATAAAAGGCAGCCAGGGAGACCTCACAAGGAAAGATATAAAACATTTGATGAAATAAAGTCAAAGAAGTACAAGGTGTCATGTGAAAATTGTGGAGGTGAAGGGCATAATAAAAGAACTTGCAAGAATGCGCCCAAAAAGAAATGAATATCATGTAGTTAGAATAGTTATTCAAAATAAGTGTTAGTGAGTTCAAATTATCTAATTTTTTTGTGTAATCGTTCAAGTTTTTGAAGATGATATGAAGTATACTACAATTTGTGTATTTGCATTTAATATGATTTTATGTATTCTGTCAGGCATCTAAATTTTGTCTTTTTTTATAGCATAGTTAAACTTTAATATTTACTATATACAAAACAACTAATATTAATGAAGAATTTATTCAATGTAAACTGTTTCCAGATTGTAGTTAAAATGTACTTTAAATGTAGTCTAATTGTAGTCCTGTTAATAATTTGTAGATGATTTATAGTTAAAATGTAGTTTAAATGTATTTAAATTGTTGTCTTGTTAATAATTTGTAGATTAATTGTGGATAATTTATTTATATGATTCCTGTATTTATTTCATATTTTGGCTGTGTACCTTAATTACAAATGACAGTTATATATAGAAATTACCTAGAACTTGAAGGTATTTCATAAAAATTACTTGAAGATTAAAGACAAATTGTATTCTAGCAAATCAGAGTACTCAAGTTTAATGTAATGAAGATAAAGTGCTGTAAACAGCCAAAATGACATATTTCCTAAAGTATATTCCACTTCAACTACAAAATGACATCAACTAAACTAGGAACACAAGACTGTATTTCTTATTTCTCTGTACTCTAGTCCTCTCATTTTTAGCAGGAGCACCCTTCCTCCTTACTAGCCTGCCTGTAACCTCACTTTCACTGATTGACCCATCTTCTTGCTTCTTTGTATCATAGTCCCATAGTAGAGCTCCATAGCGTCTACGGTGTTGGTTGATATTAGAAAGATCTTCTTTTGGGATTTCCAAATCTCCAAGGCTAACATACTCCGCAAAAGCCGCCACAAATACACCACAATCGCTGCATAAGATCAAATTTTTTTATTATGTAACAATTGATTAAAATAAAATAATTAAACATATAGAAAGGGAGAATAGTTTTTTTACAGTGATCCTTCCTTTTGCTGTGGAATCTCTGCAACCATCCACTGTATGTTGAGAGGGTCTGTAACTGGCTTCTCAATGTATGCCTTTGTGGTCTTGAAGTCAATGCCATTACGTTTCCCGTAGAAACCAGTGCAAGAAAAATACAGAGGGATAATGATTGTAAACTTATCAACCAATGATTCAACAGTATTATGAAGGTTTGAAGACACCATGGAATCATAAACATAAAGTTGTCTGTCCGCTATGTCGAAAACGAGCAACAACCAATGGAAATTCTCTACAATGTTCACAGGCATGATGACATAGTCAACTAGATCCCAGACAACATTAGCAAGAAGTCTATACCCAAGGATATATTCTGCAACATTATCATCTAATTTAACAACTGAATACTTAAGTTCTGGTGGAGAACTTTTGAACTTGTCATAGATTCGTTCAATCTTGGTCCTGAACAAGCAATCGGTTGTTGTGAACCTAGTGTCGTTGTTGGGGCCATACTTGCTACTTTTTCTCAAATAATACATAATAACATCAATGTGCTGCAAAATAAAATAAAGTCTACTATATGATACAAAGTAACCACAATTATCCACATAACAGCTACAACTTAAACTACAATTTGAACTAATCAAATAATCTAGCAGATTGCTACACTTTAGCTACTATACAGAGGAACAAATTCAACAGCTGAAGACAAAACAACCTATATATCTTGTCTACAATATAACTACAATTACACTGCACAGCTGAAGACAAAACTACAATATAACTACAATTACACTACACAGCTGAAGACAAAACACATATTGTGAAGGATTCTGTTCTTTATACTTACCGTGTTATTGATGACTTGTCCTGGGTGAGCAAGGGCATAAAACCAGTCCTTCTTATCCACCTTTTCACAACCAAAGTCTAACCAAGGCTTGATTTGGTTATCCTTTTTGGAAAAGTATTCTTTCCTCCTGTAATAACAAAAAAATATTAAATAAAAAAAATGACAGAATGAATTACATATTTAAAGTTTAAAAATGGTGAAATGAAAGTGTAAAATTAAGCATTCATACCTCTTAGATACTTTGTCACTACGAAGGTATAACCAGTTGGTGAACCTTTCTATCAAATCAGCATCTACATTTTGACCTATAACAGTTGCGAAGGGGTGCTTGAGGTAGAAAAATTTAGGTCCGACGGAGGTGCTGCCTCCAGAACTATACAGAGGTGTGAAAGGTGATCGTGCATGTTTCCCCGGTTGCCTGGTTCTACCCGGAAGAATAGGGGTTGCTTTATCTGGTATGGTCTCGCCATACCTGACCAATTGTGTT